TCACAGAGTGCCTAGATCACTATTCATTCCTTAAAATTCAGGAATATCAACATCAAGACTTTCCTCAGACTCTCTTCACTTTTATATCCTAATGCAGGGATCACTGACAGGTTCTGCAGGCTGGATCCCACCTCTGGAAGCAGTGGATTCAGCCTGTGAAGCCAGAGGGCTTTGCCTGTGCCTGCATCTGCACTGGGGCTGGGCAGCAAGAACGTGCGCTGGGCTTGGGCAGCTTCCAGCTGGGCCTGCACTGCACTCAGGAAGCTGGGATGGCATAGGTGTAGGTAAAGCCCCCCCGCTGCTGATGTGCTGTCGCAGCCACATGGCCCATTTTAGACTGGAGCCAGACTGTTCCAGCCCCTGGCTTTTAAAGGTTGCCAAATACTGTCTTAAAGTGTTTGAAGTAAAAGAATTTTTGGACCATTCACTAGTTTTATTCTACACAAAAATAGCCACCACTGAAGTGGCTGACAGTAAAAATGGGAGCACCAAATCATTCCATTTCATGACAACAACAGCGTTTAAAATCTACATTGGTACATTTAAATTCTGGGGAAAAGGTTAAAAACCTTTTCCTTCAAGCTACAGTTACTCAAATTACCTCAGGAAATGCCAAAATGTGATGTCCCTGAAAAAAACTAGACTGAGCTCTCTCACTAATCAGTAAAACCCAGTTATGGTCAGAAGACAAAACAGAATAAAAAGTCCATAATGAGGTTGCTTCTTGGAAATACATCTGGTATTGGGGTAGAAACTGGATCAACAACGGATTCTGAATCCATCTGTATCTTTGCTGAGTTATTACTGTGGTTTGTCGCACTGGCATAAATGTCCTTTGTTATTAGTGGAAAACATTCTTCCTTGATTTTGAGTACTCTCTAGAATATATTTTAAACACGCTAAGGGACAGTTCATTATTATAATATCCTGGCAGCATAATTGGAAAGTTTACTAAATGTACATTTGAATATTTATGAGTATTTTATGTATTTTCCATTCTTCTGCGTAAAAATCTGTTTTTTCACGTTAATGCTTCAATTCAACCTGCATTTTCAAGCAACTATATTGTAGTTAAATCATGTGCTTTAGCTCCTAATCCTTCTAACATACTCTGACTTGAATCTAATTTCTCCTCTATTTGACAAAGAATGCCACTGCCTTGAGAGTGGCGAACACAAAATTCAGATGCCATTACTATCCAGATATATATTTCTGTCTTGTGAACTAGAAAACTCTGAAGATGGCTCTTAGCAGAAGAGGCATTTTAAATGAATTGTCAGGCTATTTAAATGAATTACTGCCTCCACAGGTTTCTACAAAAAGTCCTAGGTTATGGGCACCTTATTATATATTTCTATTAATATATAGAAATGGCTATCATATATAGCCTTCTATAGTGCATAAAAATCAGTTTCCTACATTAGTTGAACTGCTTGAGGTATTCCCCATGCACTTGGTTTATCCAGAATTAATGCATGTTACCTTTTTTTGACACTGCTGCAAGTTTTTGCACAGATACTCCACAAGCACACTTTTGAGTAGCACTTTAGCATCTACTTTTATGTAGTACAATCCATGCATGATATTGATCCAAAGCCAGAGATTTGTGATTTATGACATAGTTCAAGAGCATTTCAAGCAACTGTGACCCCACAGCTCAGCACTACTCAGTGGGCACATCTATATATGCGTTAATGCACTTTAGTTAATGTGCATTAAATCTAGTACCTCTGGACACCTATGCATGAGTGTGGAGGCTGTTGGAGCATGGCAATTACTGCTGTCCAGCAGCCTTCTGCATCTTCTGTATCAGTGTTCCCACGCTTAAAAATGGCTCGTTGAAAAAGCTTTAGTTCAAGTGCCCCTGCTGCCACGTTTAAGTGTGGGGACGCTGATACACTATATGTGGCATCACTTTTCATTAGAGCGGCTCTTGGAGCTGCTCTAATTAAAGCATAGCACCACCCCCATCTCTGGGGCATATGTAACATTGTCTTCCATTGTGAGGTACATTACAGGAAAATGCACATTAGCCTGTCTTAAGGTGCATTAACTAAACAGCATGGTTTTTAAGTGATGCTCAATGTGCATTAAAATAGGCTAATGCTCATTAAAGCACACATCTAGTTGCCCCCAGTATGTGCATGTACTCCAGACACCACCAGCAAAGGATCTATGTGCTAAATATTGTTGTTGTCATGAGTCCTGGGATGTTCTTGGAATGGGTGTTCTTGTCATGAGTCCTGGGATGCTTCAAAAATGTATAGGCAGGTAAGATTCTTTGGGTAGATGTGATATCTTTTATTAGAGCAACTGAGTAGATGGAAAAAAGTTCTTTGCAAACTTTTGGGTGCAATCACTCTTCTACAGGCCTAGGAAGTCTCTGCTGATCTGAGACTCCAAGGAATGAAAGAAGCTAAAAGTGTGACAGGATGTCAGTGAGAATGTAAATAAGTAAAAATTAGGAAAACAG